AACACTCGCCGTTAGACTAATGTATTCTTCGGCAGACATTTTCAGTGATATCTCGTATACAGTCGTCGGTTCTAATGGAAACTTTACCCCCAATTCAAACCAATTATCATCGTTTACCCGCTTATTATCGGTACTCAAATCGAGTGAATAATAATTTTGGACGCATTTTACTTTATTTAAACACCTTGTTGTACAGTATTTATGTATTGCATGTGAAATAGCTTTTACTAACAATTTGTTATCAGTTTGATTAAAATCGATATTAATATACGGCCTATTTCTATATGCTAAGTAATATTGATAAATCGACCCATGTTGTTTTAATGTCTGATTATATTCACACACTGATTCGCATTCGTACCTAGATTGTTTATGTTTTTGGCAATTATTAACACCATGGTTATACACTACACGTGTTTGTTTAAATTTAATCGAATACATAGTACTCTGTCTATAGTGAAGGTTTAGGGTATGACTACGGGTGACATCGTATATGATTTCATTGCTTGAATGAGCGTTAAATAAGATGACAGAATTGGGTGCAAAATTTCGCTTAAATTTTGGCATAGGGAACATAAATCCTAAATTAACCACCTCGACAGAATTGTTTATTTGATTTATGGTAAAACAATAGTGATCATGATCTATTGAATCGGTATAGTTATAAATAGTTTTGCAATTAACACTGGTACGATCAACAAACATTGCCCAGCATGAAATTTGCAATTTAAGGGTTGCCAGTATGCCAAATTGTTGCTTGAACGTGTACAATTTAGAATAGGTTTGCTGAAATGTTTCCGGATTTCTTGAACCAGCCTTACTTATTACCAGATTTATTTTACCGATACATAGAGTGAATGCTGTGTCAAATGTTTGCACACTATTTGACTCGTATATGACATTAGTTGTGGTTTCGTATGAAAAGTATAATAAACCTATTTTATACGTTTGATACACACATCCCATCAAACATATCACATATGATAATATTTTGTATATTGTATTGAGTTTTAAAATCATTTTTAAATCAAACTGGTTAATGTCTTGGTTCAAATTCTTATATCCAATATATTCAAGTCTTTAATATATCTGTTGGGCTCTATGATTAAGTACAATGTATTTACAGTGCAAATATAATTAAAGATGATGTCAATAATATAACAACATAAATAGCACCATATAAATAAATATTATTGCATTTTATTAATAATCTTTTTAATAATTCTATTTATTGTATCATCATAATAATATTCAGCATACTAATATGAGTTAAATTAATTTCTTAATAGACAACAGATAATTAAATATAGTCTATTTGATTATTTTATAATATTATTTCATTTCAAGTACATATTATGTACTATTTACACAGTTAATATATGAAATACTAAATGGAACAGTACTTTATTGCATGTATTATTGATTACAAAGAACAATGACTACAAAATTAATATATAATAAACATTTTCCATAAATTACAAACCATTATTATATACTTAGAACTTAGAAGAGAATGGTACTGTTTAAAATTGGTTTTATCACTTGGATCTATCAAGTAAATATAAACAACTATAATGTATAGATGAAAACTTTACATAAGATTAAGACATACTGTATAACATATTAATATTATTAGCTAAATATAAGTTTTGAACAAATAATGCATCTTATGGGCAATGGTTAAATCAATTAAATAATGCTTTTTATTTATAAATATTGCATATACTATATAGAGCACTATTTAAGTAAAAATTGACACCATTGATTCGGTATTGTTTAAATAAATGTATGTAAATTCAACGCTTAAATCATTTAATATTTAAATGTAATAGTACAATTATACTGAAATATTTTCTTAAAATTTTTACACATAATGCATAACATTTTAAAAATTTTGAGCAAAAGGACTGACATAGTCTCAAATCAGTATTATGTTCATAATTTAATGCTTCAAACGCTCTATCTCGTCCTTAATCTGCTGGTCGACAACCTTAAGCAACGTCTCGATCGGACCCAACAATAGGTCAATCAGCGGGTCTTTAGGGTCCAATTTCTCCACAAGTGACTCAATAAATTCAACTTGCTTTTCTAGGGTGGCCAACACAACGCCCAATTCCTGCTTACCTTCTTTGGCCAACCACTGCAACATTTCCAGCGCCTCTTTCTTCAGCGCTTCCAACGCCTTTTTGATGTCATCGAGAATATCATTGGCTGTATTGACCGCAACTGACACGTGTTTTAAGCGCTCGATCTCGGCCTTAATCTCCTGCTCGACCACCTTTGCCAGGATCTCGAGCTGTGCCAACAGTAGTTGACTCAACGGGTCTTTAGGGTTGAGCTTTTCCAACTGTGACTCAATCATTTCAATTTGCTTCTCTAGGAAGGCCAGCGTTTTGCCCAATTCCTGTTTGCCTTCTTTCTTTAACTTGTCCAACATTTCCAGCGCCTCTTTTTTCAGTGCTTCCAACTCTTTCATCAGCTGATCCAGAGGGTCGTCCTGATTGGCTAATAGCAATGACAAGTGTTTTAAACGATCTATCTCGGCTTTAATCTCCTGCTCAAGTATCTTGGTTAAAGTCTCGAGTTGTTGGAGCAAGATTTTTGCTAATGGGTCCTTGGGGTCTAGCTTTTTGAGTTGGCTCTCGAGCAGCTCAACCTGTTGCTCTAGGTTAGATAAAAGTTTGCCCAATTCCTGTTTACCCTCTTTCTTTAGCTTTTCCAACATTTCCAGCATTTTTTTCTTCAGTGCCTCCAATTCCTTCATCAACTCATCCTTGACGTTCTGCTGGCCATCCCTGATGTGTAACGCGTTGGACCCTGATGTAATGAATAAACATGATTTATTAATTGTTTGTCAAATAATTGTATTGTAAATAATAAGGTAAATTAATATACAAATATAATTAAAAACTTTCTATGAAATAAATTACTTACCGATTACTACCGACAATAAGACCAACGATAGAATTAAGATTTTCATTATTTATTATTATATTGATTGATTTTTATTATTTTATAATGTTTAGTCAACAAATAATTTATTATA